CAGGTGCCTTCCCAGCCCAGCCCAGCTCAGTCTAGCGCAGCCCAGCCCAGGCTGGCGCTCGCAGCCGCCGCCGCTTCCAGGCAGATAGGTGCCTTTCCTTGCTCCTTGCTCTTGGAGTTCTTCTCTTAGCCCCTGCTCCCTGGATGAAAGCATCGCTCCGAGCCTCATGCGAGGAATGAAGGAAGAATCGAGACTAGGTGAGTGGTGGTCTAGATTTAACAAATAATAACAATAAACCTACAAACTAAGGGTACTGATGGGAAGCTAGGAAGTGCAAGGAGAAGAGAAGACAAAGGCTGCTGATCAAGGTAACTCACAAAACTAAATGCAGGCTGGGACCAATTCTAGCTATTTTGTACTCCACCCAGGTTTCCCTGCCTGGCACTGACTCATGTGCAGAGCCAGACAGACTTCAATAAATATTTGCTGGGTTGAGACAAGTGAGTGGAGGTGTTTCTGCTTGTCCTCCAGCATCTAAACAAGCAAAACCTAGCTGCCTTTGACGATGGCTTCATCTCCACAAGGACTTTTTCCCCCGGGACTTAAAAAATGTAATGTGTATTCACACAACGGACTGCTATGCAGCACTTAAAAAGCTAAAATCAGAACTGTAGGGATCAGCATGCCTATACCTAGATTTCAGAAGTATGATGGTAGATAGACGCAGCAAGATGCAAAATATATCCACTCTATCGCGCCATTTAGGTGACTTATTTTAAGACACTTGCCATGTTTGTAAAATCGTAGAACGGGGACTGTGAAATGTATATCACATCCGTGATTGTGGCTGTCTTTGGAAAGTGTGAAAGGGAAATCAATTGGACTTTAGGGTTAAAGTGGAAATAATATTTCCCTAAAATGTTTTAAAAATAAAAATGATGATATAAAGAGGACCAAATATAAACAATTGTTAATTGAGTGCTATTGGGCATTTTTCATGTTTTTTCCTGTATGAAATATTTCTTAAACTCTAAGACGTTCTGTTTTTCAAATGCAAACAAATAAGTTGTTTCTATGCACATTCGTGACGATGAAATCTAAAATGTTCAATCAAAAGTTGCAACTTTCTTGCATCGCCCCCTTTGTTTTCCAATCCTAGAAGACCACACCTCCTTATCTAGGGAGGCTTGGTGGTTAGAGAAGTTTACCTGTTGACAACCCCCAAATTACAGGCCAAAGATGAAAGGTTGGTATTAGGGAACTAGTTCCCAGTTAATCTGAAAATCAGCCAGGTCAAGGTAGACTCTGAAAACTCCCTGTGTTCCTGCAAGACAAATTTCTCTTCCTTTAACATTTCATATGCTTTGGATTTTCATTTTCATGGATGGTAGCTGTCCTCTTCACATCTCAAAACGATGCTTAGGTAACACTGCAGACTTAGCGCCAGCAGATCAGGAAGGGCTAGGGGTTTGGTAAAAGAGTCCTATAGCTCTATTGGGCTCTTCAGCAAAGTGGAAAGGATGTGTCTCCATTTTCCTGCCAGAGAATGGTAGATTTCTTTCTGAATATGAAAAAAAAAATCGAATTTGGTTATCCACATGGGACAGAAAATGAAAAATAATTTTAAACTGGATTGTGTATGTTAGGTGCAATGAAGAAGATACTAAACGACCACTCAGTAGTTCCAGCTGCTTCCACCTTCCCCAGACACACGCAAACATGGTTCCCTGTTTGCATATTATCTTCCCACTAAAAAATCACTGGGACCGTGGTGAACAAAATTGTCTGCACATCAGGATGATATTCTGAAACATGGAAAATTGCGATAATATTCCTTCCTCTTTCTCTTTCTGATTCGACAACTTGCAAGGTCAGTGCTTGGTATATCTTATGTTGCAGGATGATGGGCTACTTGAGAAAAACCTGAGGTGTGAAGATGTAAGAATGACAGGACTGGGGTGTGGTGTGAAAACTACATGTACTCAGGTTTTAAGTACAAAACAAAAGAGAATGTAGCCTCTGCCTGCAGTTAACAACTGCAATTCCTTAAAATTAATGTTCTCTTTAGGACCATTCATCTCTTTCTAGTGCCATCAGTGGTTCAGTCCTTACACTAACCCTCATTTGGATTATAAATGCAATAATAAAGCACAAGGCCGCCCCATTTGCTTCTCCCTAACTCACAATAAAACACTCACAATAAAAAGTGCATCCCACTTACTTCTTAACTCCCTTGTCCGCTGGAGTTAAACTCCTTTTGATTTTTTATCCTGGAGAAATGGTTGAGTTCTATCTTCCTGGGTCTCAATAATTCCTCTGAGCTTCCTTCAGCCACCTGTGACCACCTGTCCCTACCCACTCCCTCTCCCATACCATTTAATTGATTACTTCCTAATTGCTGACTCTCTTTGCTCTCTATTTAATGATTCTTGTTAAAGTCCATAAGGCATTTTGCCAGCAGTTGGCTTTTAGTATGAAAACTAGCATTTCCTTAATGAGTCTGCCTTCCAAATGAAGCGTTTACTTACATTTTCCTAGTGGGAAAATGAGCTTTTCTTCTACACTTGCTTAGGGGTTTCGTAAGTTCTTTTTCAATAACTCATCCTTAACACTTTCTCCAATTCTGCCTGTAATCGATATTCCCTTCACATGTAAACAGCTCAGGAGGAAATCAGCTATTTTAAAAAATATGCAATAGGGAAATTCTGCTACTCTTAGAAATAGCAGGAGCTAGCATTCATTCTTTGCATATGATGCGCTAGGCATTGTGCCAATTACCTTATATACATTGTCTCATTATCTGTAACCATGACCATATTTGTGCTAAGCATGAAATTTCCTTAAGCCAGATATCTGAGTAGAATTTTAAAATATTACTTTGTACAAAATCTAGACCTTTACTCCATTTTGGGGGTAGATCTGAAGATCTGGGCTTATGTTTCCATGTGGTGACAATCTATTTGATCTGAGTGCAATTACTTTATTTGGATGGAGCCAAAGTCACCATTGTCTACCCAGTGCACTAATGTTAAATGCCCAGTCTGGCTTACTCATTCGCGTCATCTGCCTGGCTCCTATAGGGATCCCAGCTTGTCACTCCTGAGGTAGACACTGTTATTTCCCCCACTCTAGAGGTGAGAGGTTAGGTAACTGGACCAAAGGCATTATCAGTGTCAGTTTTAGGACAGGAACACAGGATGCTGCCTCTCTTTACCATTATGTTTTAAAGTGGAGCAAAGCCATAAATATTTTTTTCACGATTTTTTCTTGTTCACACGTATCATTTAATTTGAGCCTCAGAGTGGCTAACAGTTTTGAGCACTTATGCTATGAAAATGTTTTGTGTACTGAGTCAAATGTATGCATATCGTACATTTATGTAACTCAATACATAGTTATATATAAATGTGATATAACATAACATACATATGATATAACAGAGTTATACATATATGTGTATTATTTAACTTAATATATAATGAGTTAAGTGTATGCATATCACACATTTATGTAGCTCAATACATTAAGAATTATATAATACAACACAGAGTTGATATATATAAATGTTACATATAAACATATGTTGATATATATTAACAGTTATATAATACAACACAAAGAGTTAATAATATATAAATACAACACAAAGAGTTATATATGTGTGTATTATACATTTAACTTAATATATAATGAGTTAAATGTATGTCTATCACATTCAACTCTCCATTGAGGAAAGGACCATTATCTTCTCCAAGTTCAGAAGAAGGAAAAAGAGAAATATATTGAAATTCAGCAATTTGCTGGTGTGGTCAAGTCCAACCCAGAACTTGCTTCTTTTACATTGTAGTACCCTCCAGGGTATGCAGAAACAGATAGCTAGTGCATCTTTATGACTAAAAAAGAAAGTTTTTGTTGTTGATCACCCAGTAACAAGAAAGTATAAAATCAGCATATTTTCTCAACAATATTTTTATTTTATAGTTGTTGAATAAAGTATCGCTGACTTCATTTTACACTTTCTACATACTTTGAAAAATATGTTGTTTTCCTCCCATTTTGTAAGTCTAGGTCTGCTGTTGATGAGCCATGCAGTGTGTTCTCCTGTCGCTTGATGTTTTCATTCTGAAATCATGGTTGGTTTTCAAACACAAAAGTTTTCACTACAGTGATACAGATGAGGTTTATGTTTCGGCCACAGTCTTATACTCAGGGTGCCTAGAGTATAGGATATTATTAGGATACTATTTCTTTTCCTGTCCTAGACATCCAACTAAGGCTTCAGGACATGTTTTGAGTGAAGATGGGTGTTTCTGCCAGGATAGTATAACTCAAGGATCCAGGTCTGGGCAGATTCAACCATGGGAGCCAACACTTCAAGCAAACCACCGGTGTTTGATGAAAATGAAGATGGTAAGAAATACGGGATAGTGGCATATAAAAAAATAGAATTTTGCAAAATTCAAGTATATGCTTCTAGTTTCATAAGTTAAGTATAAGCATTGTCTGTAGGGCCTTGAAGGAAAAAGGCAAAGCTGCGTGAGTGAGCCTGAGGACTTTGTAGGCTCATAGCTAGGTTTTACCTTCCACTTTCCATGGGACCTTTGGCAGCTTTCCTCATCTCCACTATACCAATGTCCTTTCTCCAAAATGAGCTGCAGTTTGGCATGTGGTGGATAATTAAATGATTTGTTTGTCCTCTGTGCTGTTCCTTGGCAGTTGAAGTTACCCCCATTGCTCATTGTTATAGAAAATATATTATCAACATGTACAT